GTCCTCTCTTGTCGGGCAGTGTTTGATCATTATGGGCTGAGAGGTTAAGTGTAGGACCATTGAGGGTAATACCCGATGGGCTAATCTTGCATCTGCCCACAGTCCCTGGGTTTTTATAAGGTGGCTTGGCCCAAGGACCACTTAGTGTAAGTGTTGGGCCCATTAGGAGTCCATGTGATAGGCTTCAAGGGGTTCACTGTCTTTTCAGTGAACTCGGCCAAGCCTTGTAACAGAGGCTGGGCTGAACCCATGTGGCTGATGTGTAGATCAATGTTTGGGTCCCACGCCATACAAAGAAGCCCAACTGGGCAGCAGTTTGAGCACTTAAACTTATTGGGCCTAAAGCCCATTTCAAACTTATTGAGCACTTAAATAAGGCGGTGGATCTAGGATTAAATCAGCAGATAGGATAGGGTCTTACCCTATCCACTCAGAGAGTCCAAATCTGAATTCAGATCTAGAATCCTCCTAATGAGATTAGGAGAGAGCTTATCTAATATGCAGATAAGATAAGGGCATATCCTTATCTCTTAAAGAGAACTCCTTATCCAAATACAGATTTGGACTAGGAAACTCCTAATGAGATTAGGAGTTCTCTTTAAGCCTATAAAAGGAGGAAGGGGCGAACCATTCAGTTCATCCTCACATCCCAAGCATCCAGAGATTAGATCTCAGATCACCCAAAGAAAAGACAGCTACAATGTGACTGCGCCATCTTCTCCCTGTGATTTCCTCCAGTTGCCGCCATACTGCCAGTTCAATTTCCTTGTAGGAGCGATCAAGAAGTGTCCAGTATTTGGAGAAAGGCTGATCAGAAGTCGTGCTCACTGCCTCCATTGAATTCTTGCTGAAGAATTCAGTTCGTTAGACAAACCCTACTGACTCTGCTCTACCATTCACCGTGTCATCTTCAATGGGAGCAGTTTTTGGAGTCTTTCTTTGGGCGTGAACACCTTCGTTGGGAGATATTGCATCTTCGTATCAGGTATATCCCTCTCCTACCGTTTTGGTCCAGATCTGGTTCGGTTCTTATTTCAAGATTGATCCTTGAAAAATGCAGTTTTTCTAAAACAAGGAATGTGATTCCCACATGGGAGAGAGAATTTTTTGAAATTTCGCCCTACCTTCCTGCAGGGTTCGGCCATCCATATGATGGATCTCTCATCCCTTCAATAGCATGTTAGAGAGAGATTCAATTTCATCATCCCTTAGTCCCCTACAAAACCCAAAATCCCAATTAGGAGCCAAGGGTGTTCCCAAGGATGAGACAAATTTTGATATCACCTTTTTTTATACAAAGAAACAAAAAATAACAAAGGGAAAAGGTCCTTTAGAGGGGTGTCTCCTACCCAAATATCCTCCCAAAAGTGAATAGTATTGCCAGAACAAACTTCGTACCTGATAAAATTGAAAAATTGAGGAAGGGTGTTGTGAATGGCCTTCCAAGGTGTTGCCAAGTTAGCTTGCCTTGATACACCAGCATCCCATCCATTCTCTTAACTCCCATGAATGCTTCTCACCACCTCATGCCACAACCTCTCACTTTCCAATGGCCATCACCACAACCATTTCCCTAACAGAGATTGATTTTTTTCAATCACACTCCCAAGTCCCAAACCCCCCTCTTCTTTACTTCTGCAAACAATTTCCCATTTAACCAAATGATCATTTTTTCTTGTCCCGACTCCCACAAGAAGTCTTTCATCAACTTTTCCAGCTTCCTAGCTTCCCTAGGTGGTATCCTAAAAACAGACAGAAAGTAAGTAGGTAAGTTAGCCAAAGTAGCTCTTATTAAGGTGATTCTCCCCCCCAAAGAGATGTAATTCTTCTTCCACGAAGCTAATCACTTCTCAAACTTTTCTAGCACTGGGGTCCAAAATCTGCTCTCCCTAGGATTTTCCCCTAATGGAAGCCCTAAGTAGGACATAGGCCAAGAAGAGATGGAACACTCAAGACACTCCGCATAAACCTCAATCTCCCCAACCTCCAAGTTTATACCCACTATGCAACTCTTCTCCAAATTTATTTTCAAATTAGAAACCATTTCAAATCCTTTGATTAGCTCCTTTAGGTTTTCTACCTTCTCACTAAAACCTCCTTCGCAAAAGATCATTAGGTCATCTGCAAATTGAAGGTGGGTGATTGGGATTTGGTATCTCCCTATTCCCCAACCCCTAATGGCATCTTCTTTATTGGCCTTAGTAATGACCTTACTAAACACATCAGCAACTAAGGTAAAAAGGAAGGGAGAGAGTGGATCCCCTTGCTTGACACCCCTACAAGATGGAAAAAAATCCTTCACACCATTTACCAGAATAGAGTAGTAATAGGTACTAATACACCCAAATATCCAACTACACCACTTGTCCCCAAATCCACAATTTCTCATCACCTCTAACAAAAACTCACAGTCCACCAAGTCATAGGCTTTTTCGAGATCCAATTGACAGATAAAATCTCTTTGTCTAGACCTTTTCATTTCCTCCACACGCTCATTCGCAATTAGAATCTAATATGTTATTTGTCGACCTTGAACGAAGGACCCCTGAGTTTCACTAATGATAGAAGGGAGAATTGTTTTGATCCTCAAAGAAAGCACTTTAAACAGAATTTTATAGATGCTTGTCATCAGACTAATAGGGATCAAGGCCAAAAAAGTGGCATTCATAGTTGTCAAGGCGTCGCCTAGGCGACCAGGCGCACTTGGCTAGGCGCCTTGCCCAAACGCCTTGACTTAGCAACTAGGCGACTAGGCGCCCGCCTAGGCAACTGAGCGCCCGCCTAAGCGACAAAAATGACAAGGTGGGCCTTTTATAATATCATTTATATTGCTATATCTTATTAATGTATGTGTTAATACATTTTATTATATGCTATATATATATATATCAATTATACTTTGTTTTAATGTTTTACTATTGAAATTTAAAAGATCAAAGGGTTTTCAGAAGAGAAAAAGAAAGAAAGAAAGAAAGAAAAGAAA